GTTATTTTACTTTTCTCTGTTACAAGCAATACTTACGTGCACATCTTGTTCCATCCATCTGGGTACATTTTCTCTTCTTATCAATTAACTACCTCTGTAATATTGTTAATACTGTTAATGTTAATATTGTCAAGCATGAAATCTATAACTCCTCAAGTTACTGCTTCAGGTTCTATTTAGTTTGCCTATCCCAAGCAATAATTCTCCACTTTTGTGTACATTGGTTTCCTGTTGTCCTGGAATTCTTGAGTGTGGCTGATGGAAAGAAGTTTTCTAAGTGTGAGAAATACTGAGGGGGATAGAAATGAGGCTAGCATGAGAAACATATTTTCAATGAGTGAGTTAGTTTCACACAGGGAAAAACAACTTTCCAGAGCCTAGACAAACCCACAAGTTATGTTTAACAGTTTAAAAATAGATACAGTTAATTACAGGATACTAATAAGAAAGTAAAAGTATGGTTTGGGTTTAATATAATCCCCATAAAAATCAACTGATAGTATTCCGTTGTGTAAATGTATCACACTTTCTGTATCCGTTCCTCTGTTGAGGGACATCTCAACAGAGGAGGCTGTTTCCAGATTCTGGCTATTATGAAAAGCCAGCTATTCATAGCTATTATGAATACAAATGTGGGTGAGCAAATGTCCTTATTTAATGGTGGGCTATCTTTTTGGGTATATGCCTAGGAATGGTTTAGCTGGATCTTGATGTAGCACTATTCCTAATTTTCTGAGAAAGCGCCAGATTGATTTCCAAAGTGGTTGTACAATTTTCATTCCCACCAGCAATGGAAGAGGATTCCCCTTTCTCCATGTCCTCTCCAGCATGCATCATCCCTTGAGTTTTTGCTCTTAGCCATTCTGATGGGTGTAAGGTGAAATCTCAGGGTCGTTTTGATTTGCATTTTTTGAATGACTAAGGATGTTGAGCATTTCTTTAAGTATTTCTCTGCCATTTGATATTCCTCTGTCGAGAATTCTCTGTTTAGCTCTATACCCCGTTTTTTAATTGGATTACTTGTTTGTTGCTGTTTAACTTCTTGTGTTCTTTATATATACTGGATATCAGCCCTCTGTCAGATATAGGGTTGGGGAAGATCCTTTCCCAGTCTGTAGGCTGTTGTTTTGTTCTGATGATACTGTCCTTTGCTTTACAGAAGCTTTTCAGTTTCATGAGGTCCCATTTATTGATTGTTGCTCTTAGAGCCTGTGCTGTTGGTGTTCTGTTCAGGAAGTTATCTCCTGTGCCAATAAGGTCAAGTCTCTTCCCAACTTTTTCCTCTACAAAGTTTAGTGTGTCTGGATTTTAAAAACAAGGAGATCATAAAATTTGCAGGCAAATGGTAAGAACTAGAAAAGAACATCCTGAGTAAGGTAACCCAGAAGCAGAAAGACACATATAATATATACTCACTTATAAGTGGATATTAGCCATATAATATAGGATAACATACTAAAATCTATAGCCCCAAAGAAGCTAAACAACAAGGAAGACCCTAGGGAGCATGGTTAATCCTCATTCAGAAGGGCAAACAGGATAGACATCAGAAGTAGGAAAAGACAAGAAACAGGACAGGAACCTTCCACACAGGACCCACCAGGGTATCAAAGGAGATACTGAAACTCAAAGCCAAACTTTGGGCAGAATCCTTATGGAAGAAGAGGGAGATAGAAAGACCTGGAGGGGGCAGGAACTCCACAAGGAGAACAACAGAGCCAAAATACCTGGGCCTGGGGGGAGGAGGGAACCTGCAGAGACTGATACTCCAACTAAGGACCATGCATGAAGAGGACCTAGAACCCCTGTTTAAAGGCAGCTCATTGGCTGCTCAGTTTCCAAGTGACTTCCCTAGTAAGGGGCACAGGGGCTGTTTCTGACATGAACCCAGTGGCCAGCTCTTTGATCACCTCCTCCTGGGGGGGTGCATCCTTGCCATGCCACAGAGGAAGATGATGCAGCCAACCTTGATGAGACCTGATAGGCTATGGTCAGATAGAAGGGGAGGAGGTCCTTTCCTCCTAGGGAAAGGGCATGAGGGAGAAGTGGGAGGGTGATACTGGGAGGAGACAATGGAGGGGGCTGTAGCAGGGATAAAAAGTGAATAAATTGTAATAAATAAACTTAAATTTAAAAAAATTAATTGATAGGCACTTTAATAAAATATAATAATAAATAATAACATTTTCTGTCAAGACAGCACTCAAAACTATCTCTGAACCTTTAGATCAGCACATGTGTTGGCATTTTTTGACAGAGAAAATTAGTTTTGAAGAAGAATGTGCTGTGGTAGTTAAGGAATTCACTGAGCAAGACCTCCTCTTGAGTTCACACACCAGCCTCTTCGGGGACTGTCTCTGTACCCTGAAACAAAAATTTTATGCTTTTCATTTTGAAATAATCTTTCATATTTTTCGCTTACTTATACCTCTGAGTGTGCGCAGGTGCACATGTGCTGTTTCCTGCAAATGGCAATCACAAGACAACTTGCAAGAGTCAGTTCTCTCCACCACGTGAGTCTTGGCAATGGAACTCAGGCCACAGGCTGGGAGGCAAGTACCTTTCTCTGCTGAGCCATCTTGCCTGCCCCAAATATATCTTTGAAGATATTGGGAGATGGATTTTAATCCTATTACAAGGATTTAAGGAGTAAACATATGTGAAATGCTTCAGTAAGAGGTCCTTTTTTTTTTTCTACATAGTTAAGGCAGTAAGTTATTGCAGTCAAGCTAAAGAGTCAGAGGAAATAAAGACTTCCACTACAGTAGAACTGAGCAGGGTAGTGTAATCAGTAGACACCATTTGGGATACTTTCTCCTTTTGAATAACATATGAAAATGTTCTAGACAAAGAGATGGAGAGCCCTCCAGAGCCCTCTGCTTTCCTCCTGTACCCTGAGAGAGACACGGAGTACCTTGACTGTTCCATGACCTGGCCAGCTGCATGTGTTTTTTTCCCTGTAGGCTTGAACCTAAGATGGAGCCTTGAACATTCCCAGGCTCTGATAAAGCTGTGTAGGTTAGTTCCAAGAGCAGAAAAATATGAACATATGTTGCTCAACCATACAAACTTGTCATGGCTCAGAGCCATATTTCTTAAATCCTCATATGGATTTTGAACTGATCCCCCTAGTGTTTACTTCTTTCTTTCTTTGGAATCTCAACTGACCTCATCTCCAAATGGTTTGGCAAATCCATTTGAAGAATTCCCTTGCCACCCCTCTTGGGGTAACTCCAGCCTAGGACTCAGAATGCTAAGTCATAAGGAAAGAGAGGGGAGGAGAACCCATCTCACCCAGGTGCTTTTGGGACCTACAAACAGTTTGACAGGGCTGGAATATGAGGAGTGGTTGGCAAAGTAACAGGATGTTAAAATGAGATGAAATCTCCATTACCATCCAAGAGTTTTACTTCATCCAGAGGCCAGAATGTAGACACAGTGTCTGGGGAAGAGACTTGATGAGTGTTTAAAATGAACAATGTAACAAATTGGGTCATGAAACTATACATATGGAAATTGAGAAAGTAAAATCAACAGAATATCCTCATTGACTGTCACTGAAAGGCAACAAAAATATGGGTAAGAGTATGAACCTTCCTAAACTGGGCTGATGGTCTACATTTCTATGCTTTTCCACAAGTTAGTAACTTCGGTTCTCTGAATGACAGACATACATCATTGAGATTATCTTAGTATTATCTAACTGGGCTTCAGGAGCCTGTGGAAGGAATTAAATGGCGTAATAAATTAAAAACACTTTGCTGTATGTTAGTGTTTGCATTAGAGCGAAAAATGGTAAAATATGCATACTATTAGTTATTTAAAGCAAGCAATATGGTTTAGAAACCCAGGTTTTGGTCAGACTCTTTAGCTCTGCGTCTCAAATTTTCCAGCTAACAGTTATGTTTACTATGAGAAGTAACTTATTTTGGTACCTTGGTTTTAGTATCTGTAATGTCGATGTAGAACATATTTCTCACCTCAGAGGAGGAGGGTTTATCCTTATGCCAGCTCTAAGTGCCACATCCAAGAACACAGATTTGAAATGCCCTGATTAACTATGCAAGTGGAAGTGGACATGTGGACTTCTATTAATTTTCTTTTCAGAATTATAAATCTAATCCCAGAACTCCATAGACAGAGGCAAGTGTATCTTTTTCGAAGCCAGCTTGGTCTACATAGTGAATTCCAGGACAGCCAGCGCTACATAGTGAGATCCTATCTCAGAAAAATAAACAAACAAAACAAAAACTAAAGAAAGGAAAGGTCTTTAGCTGAGAATGTTATTGCACGTTTTTAACCCCAGCATTTGGGAGGCAGAGGCAGGCGCCATCTCTGAATTTGGGGCCAGGCTGGTCAGTAGCTGCTTGATTACAATAAATTTTTGTTATCTGCATTGACCTGAAGTTTGAGTCATATTGGATTTAAGCAGACCGGGTAACAGTAAGAGGATCCGTACTTCAGGTTGGACAGGAGGCTGGGCTACATGTAACAGTGTCTCAAAAACAAACAAACAAAACGGAACAACCTTGGGATTATTTGTTTTCATCTTAGAAAATATGCAATCAGCAGAGCTTCCGAATGTATTTTATTACATCAAATGCTCCTAAAACAAATAGTCTTAGGGAGAGTGTTAAAGGTACGGTTGGGGGTTGTTCATCAAAATATAAAAAATGAAGACCTTGATGATGTCTGCTCTGCCTATTAGATCTGTGCTACTGAAGCCAGGGAAGTGGCCACCTTCCTTCCAAGAGCTTGCACAGAGTTGGCTTTGTTCTCAGTTAGGGATAGTAAGGAATATCTTCAATGATAATGTTTCGTTCACCTTCCAAGGATTGGGTCTGGAAGTCCACCATCAGGTAGAACTCACGCCACTAACTCCTCCTAGAAAAGACCCACCCACTTAGAAGGTCCTGCTAGTCCCGCCTCCCGGAAGTTCCCGCGAGCGTTCCGAGGACTCCGATACGCCACTTCCGGCTTCAGTACAGCAGCAACTCGGCGATTGGCCCATTGCCACGCCGTCGTGTGACGCCATCCTGAACCTGTGTATCCACGTGTGGCTCTGCGGGGAGAGACAGGTGAGCCGCGGTTTGGCTTCCGCGGTTCCGGAGAGGGAGTCCCTGCCTCATCATGGTGAGAAAGCCGCGGTGCTCCGGGCGGGAGCCGGCGGGTTCCGCTTATGTCTGTGTTTGCCGCTCCCTGCAAAGCGGCTAGCTTAGGCCACTGGTAGCACGGTGTGGTGACCCGAAACCGGTCACCTTCGTCACTCCCGGAGGACTTTGAAAGAAGAAGGGATGGTTTGTTTCCCTTTTGCAAAACTCCAGGAGTTGTAAAATTCTGACCGCTTAGGTTAACTCAGTACCTGTGACATAGACGCCCCCTGCTTCCGGGATCCTCATGGAACACCTGGTTGACATCTCGACTTTACAAGACCCAGTGTTGAAAAGCAAATAAAAATTTATCGAGGAGTAATGAATCTAAACATTAGTTGTCTGTGTCCTGGTTTTATATAGGAGTTAGTAGATGAAATACCAGTCTCTACATTTTCTTTTGGCAGGCTTCTCCCAGAGCACCCATTATAAAGGACTTCAGGCATTTGCACTTCAGCCTGTTTGATTTTTTTCCTCACTAGGTCGTTATCTTATTGATTTGCTTGCCCAAAACTGAGAGTTTCCCAGACTGCCCCACTGCCATATTCCCAGCCCCTCTGATCAGGTGTCGCATAGGAGGTGCCCATCCAGTGTTTGCTGGAGAAGGAAAGTATGGATCTTTCAGAAGACAGGGAGGCTTGTCTGGCTTAAATGTGCAAACTTGACAAATCTGTTCAGCCTTCACATACTTACTGAAGGTATGTGTGGTTGTGGAGTTGTCCGCTGTTTTGGGGTTCTGTTTTATTGACCTTTGCTGATTATTTTATAGCCTCACAGAAAGAAAAAGCCCTTTATAGATAAGAAGAACGCTCTGTCTTTTCACCTGGTACACCGGAGCCAGCGAGATCCCTTAGCAGCGGATGAGACTGCACCCCAGAGAGTTCTGTTGCCTGCACAGAAGGTAGGTCCTGCCCTGGAGTGCTAAGCTGGGTGGGTGCTGGTTTTGTGGTGCTGAAGATGGAACCAGGGGACATACACATGCCTAACAAGCACGTTGTCCCTTAACTGCACCCCCAGAAACTGGTCTCTGGGAAAGGAACTGTGACTCAGTTTCTCATCTGTGTGCTGACATTTGATATCGTATATTTGTTTTGATTGACAGGATAAAGCATTTTTGAGATTATTAAATAAAGAGACCTTACAGAATCTTAGTAAAGTTTACTAGCGCACAACCTACATTGTGTATTATATAAAGTCTGGCTGTGTACTCAGTCTCTGCTTTCTCTTGGGTTCTGCCATGTTACAGTAGCCTTCAGTTTGAATTTCTGCTTCCTAGTCACTCATGAAATAGAAAACATCTGAGCTCATGAGTAGCTTTGGTAATCTTACAGGAGCTTTGAAAAAGCTAGCTCTTGTAACCTTACACTTGTTGAAGATGTAGACTATGAAACTATTGGGGATGCTGGAAAGATGGCTCAGTTCATAAGAGTACTTGCTGCTCTTGAAGAGGGCTCATGTTCAGTTCCCCACACCTATATGTAAACTCATAACCATCTGTAACAACTGTTCCAGGGAGATCAGATACCCTCTTGTCCTCTGTGTATATATACCAGGCACACATACATGTAGTCCAAACACTCATTAAAAAAGAAAAAATTTTAAATGTTTCAAGTATGGGGGGGGGCATTGGCCTTTGTTTAGCTTTTCATTAAAGCCACCCCCTACACCACTGAAAAGTTTTCTTTGCTTATAAATACAAGAAACTGTACTTACTGTCAAAGTCCCCAAATCTTCTAACCTTCCAACTACATTTTGAGTGTGTGTTACTTATATTTCTTACGTGGAGTTGTACAGAATTGTCTAGTTCAAAGAATTGTTTTTATTCTTGTGTGTGTGTGTGTGTGTCTTTGAGTCTTTGGGTCAAGGGCTTGGTGCATTTTCCAGTCTTGTCTTATATTCATGGGTTCTGATTGTCTGCCTCATTCTGGCTTATTTTCATTCCATTTAAATTTTATGTAGCACTCTGGTTTGGAAGCTCTGTAGTTTTGATATCTGTCAAGAATTAGTGATTCTTGTTAGCCAGTATTCATGTACCATTAACCTCCTGCTCTCTTTAAGGGTCCTGGCCTTATCCATGGCAGGGTAGCTAATTCCATCTCATTATCCAAGGTAAATAATGAAGAAAGACGAGCAGAACAGAGGAAGTATGGTGTCTTCTTCGATGATGACTACGACTACTTGCAACACCTGAAGGAGCCTTCTGGGCCTGCAGAGCTTATTCCCAGCACCGCCTTCAGCACATACAACCATGATGAGCAAGATGAAACCTCAGGCTTTCCAGTAAGCTTTCTTACTTAGCCCTCGAAATGTGAAACTGTGCAGCAATGAGTAGAGATGCCTCATTTTTAAGTCAATAACCTTGGGGCAGTAAATGGTGTCAGTTTGAAGAACAGAGTCTCTACCTAAAAATTGGATGGATGTTTGTGTATCTAAACCATCAGGAAATCATAGGCCACTTCTCTGGTAGCTGGTGTCAAGGTTAATAGCCTTTTGTCAGGTTCAGAACTTTGAGTCATGATAGACAGCATTTTCCATTGGGGGGGGGGGAACAGGGCATTTTGTATTCTAACGTTTTGTAACCAAAAACTGCTATAGGTTGAAATTTGTTGATCTTTTAACACTTTAGTGAAAACTCCCAGGTAACGTGAAGACAACAGCATGAACTGGTTGTAATGAAATGACTGTTAATCTTCTCAGCAAACGTGCAGTCCACTGTATTATACTTTACCCTTTAAATACAGACAAGCATGTATGTACCCAGTGCTACTTGTGTAAGTCCCAGGTGCACCTGTTTATGTTGAAAGTGCTGCTTTTGCATGCTACCACCCAGCACGTAAAAAGGAAAAGACATTCATTGGGGTTTTCAGCCAAAGAAGAAAAATGGCAAGGTGTCTTCTGAGGAAAGGTAGGATCTTAACTCTTCCGGGGCAAAGCTCATTGCTAGGGAGATGAAAGAGTCAGGGTTCAGGAAATTGTCCTGAAGAAAGAGGTGATAACTGGAGCTGTCAGTTTAGTCTCTTGTATGGGCCCACATGGCACCACCACCTCCCTAGACAGATCCAGCTTCTCTTGCCCCTCCTCTATGCTGTTACCTTAGTAGCAGGGTTCTTACTGCCCCTTCCCTTCTGTGCCCCACTGAGGGAGACTAGGTCTCCTGCTCAACTGCTTTCTCTTTCTGAGAAGGAACGTTTTAGTAAAGTCACAGCATGTTCAGCATGAATTCTAACAAACAGTTTAGCTTTTAATCTTTAATTTATTTTGGGTAAGAGAATTCACTTTTTTTTTTTAACAAAATAAAGCTATTAAGTGGGCAGTTCATTTGTGTTTATACAAACAAGTAAAACTACTTAAAAACAAAGATGTCATTTGATCTGCATATATGAAAATGCATACATGATAACGGAAGAAGAAATGGCATAGGTGCCACTGATTTTATTTTGTAAAACTGGCTTAAAGCCCTTTTAAATTTGACTCTGTCAGAGTGCTTCATAGGGACAGAGTGAAATGCAGTGCAGAAGGCGATGTAGGTGTGGCTGCTTGAGCTTGCCCTGATTCTCACAAGACAGTGTAATTACTGCTATGAGAAAAGAGCTGAGAACCCAGCAGAGCCGGGAATCGCTACAACCATTAAAATAAACACACCCACCTGAGAGGAAAGTGATCGTCATTGGAACTGTCATTTACTTGATTATGTGACTACTTTTTAAAACTTCAAAAAAATTCCATGGATACATTTACTAAATCCCTCTTGAGTCTTAGAATTTTAAGAAGCACAGTAACCTTTAAAAAGTCTCAAAAAAGATATTTTTTTGTCTTTTTTGTTGTTGATTAGGACAAGATAGTAGATATTCTCTGTTGAAAGTAACAGAAAACCCCAATTCAAGACTTGCTTTAAAAATAACAAATGGTAATTCTGATGGTGCATAGCTTTAATCCCAGCATCCAAGAAGCAGAGGCACGATGATCTCTGAGTTCAAGGTCAGTCTGGTCTGCGCACTGAATTCCTAGCCAGCAAGGCTGCATAGTAAGACCTTGCTTTAAGTGAACATGTAAAGATAGCTTTTTTTGTTTATTTCTCCTGTGTGTAGGGATTTCATTCAAGCTTGCACCATCAGCATTGGTTAACACAGTCTTAAATTATTAATACAGGGTCACTGGGTAAGGGCTTTTCTCAGACTGATAGCCTAAACTCAATCCCCAGACCCCATATAAGGTGGAAAGAGCACCAGCTCCATAAAGTTGTCTCTGACCTACACAGATGACACAGTAGTGATGATGATGATGATGATACAATGTAATAGACAAAGGACCACAAAATTGTATGTGTTGATATATTAATTATTCTTTATTTTTTTGTATTAATTACAGTTTATTCATTTTTTATTAGAGCTGTAGCCCCCTCCTTCAGCCCCTTCCAACCCCACCCTCCCTCCCTCATCTCCTCCCATGCTTCTCTCCAAGTCCACTGATAGGGAGGTCCTTCTCCCTTCCATCTGACCCTAGCTTATCCGGTCTCATCAGGACTGGCCGCATTGTCCTCCTCTGTGGCCTGGCAAGACTGCTTCCCCCCTCAGGGGGAGGTGATCAGAGAGCCAGCCACTGAGTTCATGTCAGAGACAGACCCTCTTCCCCTTACTAGGGATTTCCACTTGGATTACTGAGCTGCCACGGGCTACATATGTGCAGGGGTTCTAGGTTATCTCCAGGCATGGCCCTTGGTTGGAGTATCAGTCTCAGAAAAGACCCCTGTGCCCAGGTATTTTAGTTCTGTTGCTTGCCTTGTGGAGCTCCTATCCTCTCCAGGTCTTACTATCTCCCCCTTCTTTCCTGCACTCTGCCAAAAGTTTGGTATGAGTCTCAGCATCTGCTTTGATATACTGATGGGTAGTATCTTTCAGAGGCCGTCTGTGGTAAGCTCCTATTCTGCTGCCCTGTTTTTTTTCTTCTTCCAGTGTCCCATCCCATTTGTTTTTCTGAGTGAGGATTGATCATCTAACCCAGGGTCCTCCTTGCTTAGCTGCTTAGCTTCTTTAGTTATACAGATTGTAGTATGTTTATCCTATATTATATTTCTAATATCTACTTATAAGTGAGTATATACCGTGTGTGTCTTTCTGCTTCTGGGATAGCTCACTCAGGATGATCTTTTTCTAGATCCCACCATTTGCCTGCAAATTTCATGATTTCCCTGTTTTTAATTGCTGAGTAGTATTCCATTGTGTAGATGTACCACAATTTCTGTATCCATTCCTCCGTTGAGGGCATCTGGGTTGTTTCCAGGTTCTGGCTATTATGAATGAAACTGCTGTGAACATGGTTGAGCAAATGTCTTTGTTGTGTACTTGCATATATTTTGGATATATGCCTAGGAGTGGTATAGCTGGATCTTAAGGAAGCGCTATTCCTCATTGTCTGAGAAAGCTCCAGATTGATTTCCAAACTGGTTGTACAAGTATACGTTCCCACCAGCAATGGAGGAGGGTTCTTCTTTTTTCACACCCTCTCCAGCATGTGTTGTCACTTGAGTTTTTGATCTTAGCCATTCTGATGGGTGTCAGGTAAAATCTCAGGGTCATTTTGATTTGCTTTGGATTTGATTACTAAGGATGTTGCGCATTTCTTTAATTGTTTCTCTGCCATTCGATATTCCTCTATTGAGAATTATCTGTTTAGCTCTGAACCCCATTTTTTAAATTGGGTTACTTGGTTTGATGGTGTTTTAAGTTCTTAAGTTCTTTATGTATTCTGGATATTAGACCTCTGTCAGATATAGGGTTGGTGAAGATCCTTTCCCAGTGTGTAGGCTGTCATTTTGTTCTGACAACATTGTCCTTTGCTTTACAAAGCTTTTCGGTTTCATGAGGTCCCACTTACTGATTGTTGATCTTAGAGCCTGTACTGTTGGTGTTCTGTTCAGAAAGTTGTCTCCTGTGCCAATGAGTTCTAGGCTCTTCCCCACTTTTTCTTCTAATGGATTTAGTGTGTCTGGGTTTATGTTGAGATCTTTGATCCACTTGGACTTTAGTTTTGTGCAGGATGATAAATACGGATCTATTTGCATTTTTCTACATGTTAGACCAGCACCATTTGTTAAAGATGCAGTCTTTTTTCCGTTGTATGGTTTTGGCTTTTTGGTCAAAAATTAAGTATCTGGAGGTGTGTGGGTTTATTGCTGGGTCTTCTTTAATATATGTATATACATATATATATATTTTTTTTTAATTTTTTATTAATTACACTTTATTCACTTTGTATCCCCCTTGTAGCTCCCTCCCATCTCCCCTCCCAACCTTTCCCTTCCTCTCCCTTCTCCATGCATACCTCTCCCCAAGTCCACTGATAGGGAAGGTCTTCTTTTCCTTCCTCCTGATCCTAGTCTATTAGGTCTCATCAGGAGTGGCTGCATTGTCTTCCTTTGTGGCCCGGTAAGGCTGCTCCCCCCTCAGAGTGAGGTGATGAAAGAGCAGGCCAATCAGTTCATATCAGAGACAATCTTTGTTCCCATTACTATGGAACCCATTTGGACACTGAACTGCCATGGGCTACATCTGTGTAAGGGTTCTAGGTTATCTCCATGCATGGTACTTGGTTGAAGTATCAGTCTTAGGAAAGACCCCTGTGCTCATATTTTTTGGTTTTGTTGCTCTCCTTGTGGAGCTCTTGTCCTCTCCAGATCTTGCTATTTCCAACTTCTTTCATAAGATTCCCTGCACTCTGCCCAACAGTTGGCCATAAGTCTTAGCATCTGCTTTGATAGTCTGCAGGGCAGAGCCTTTCAGAGGCCCTCTGTGGCAGGCTCCTAACTTGTTCCCTGTTTTCTCCTTTGCTGGGTTTTCTATTTGTTTCCATTAATCTACCATTCTATTTCTATGCCAGTACCATGCAGTTTTTTATAACTATTGCTCTGTAGAACAGCTTGAGAACAGAGATGAAGATACCTCCAGAAGATCTATTGTTGTACAGGATTGTTTCAGCAATTCTGGGTTCTTTGTTTTTCCATATGAAGTTGAGAATTTTTCTTATACGTTGTGTAAAGAATTGTGCTGGTATTTTGATGGGAATTTCATTGAATCTGTAGATTGCTTTTGGCCATTTTCACTATGTTAATACTACTGTTCCATGAGCATAGAAGATCTTTCCATCTTCTGGTATCTTCTACAATTTCTTTCTTCAGAGACTTGATTTTTTTTTTTTTTTTTGTTTTTTTCAAACAGGTTTTTCACTTGCTTGGTTAGTGTCACACCAAGGTACTTCGTGTGATTAGTGGCTATTGTGAAGGG